CGACAAACAACAGCAATATCAGCACCAGAATAACTAATACAAATAATCAATATATACTTCACTATATACTATTCAACACTTACTGTTCAGATCTTTGTGCAAGTTCCATCCATTCGTTATCTTTGACTGTATGAAAAGTATTAGTACCCAAATGAGTTTTAAACATAGCTGCACGTTCATTTATACCAGGTAGAGGAATATAAATTCGTTTTTCAAAACTAAAATCATTCAAAACAAATCACATATATATATCTATACTTGTGATTGAAATCATACCGTCGTCGAATAGCTGTATCCAGTGACCAAGGAATATTAGTTGCAGCAAGAACAAGAACACCGTTATTATCTGTTCCAACACCTAATAAAACAACAATTTCTATATTCATATCACTAAATAAAAATAACATACCTTGCATTTGAACAAGAAATTCAGTTTTAACACGTCTGGATGATTCAGATTCTGTATCACTACGTTGTCCACATAAAGCATCGATTTCATCAATAAATACAATACATGGTTGTCGTGCACGTGCAAGTTCAAATAAAGTTTTTACACCTTTCTCACTTTCACCAAGCCATTTCGATAGAAGATCTGATGAACTGACTGATATAAATGTACTTTTACATTCAGTAGCAATAGCTTTAGCTAAATATGATTTGCCAGTACCAGGAGGCTAAAATGAAAATGAAAATATATGAGATGACGAAAAGTATTAAGAACTTACTCCATAAAGTAAAATACCAGCCCATGGTTTACGTTTTCCTAGATAAAAAATACCAAAATCATATGACAAGACAATGTTATCTAGACTATCTACCTTGAAAGAGTTGTGGAAATTTAACTGGTAAGATGACAGCTTCTTTCAATGCTTCTTTTGCTTGTTCCAATCCGATAACATCTGCAAAACTAACATTTGGATCGGTAACAATGGCTCCTAAAATCAAAAATTAACAATAATATGTCTCACAGATATATGTATAAAAAATGTACCTTCAAATTTTTGCATCATGCGTCTTTTATCTGGATCATCATTATCATCATCTTCACCTTTATTATCTTTTGAACTTCCTCCACGTCCATTAGCACTATCAGCAACTGCTTTCTTCTTAACAGGGCCTTTTTTCAAAATTTCTTTTATTTCTTCTGCTCGTTTCACATAACTTTCTATTTTAGGTCGTATTGTTTGTTTCATTTGTGCATTCATAGCTCCTCCATCTAAAATAAAAACATTTGTTTTTTTTAAATCAATATAATCATCATTATACACTAACATTTCATTGCTTGCATAAGCCAATCTGCTGCAGTCATATAATGTTGTGCAGCGGCTGCATAATTTTGTGCTTTATCCTCAGCTGTAGCTTGTTCGGCACTTCGAATTCCTTTCTAGATAAACAGACAGATATATATTTTGAAAAAATAAATTTAATAATTCTTACCTGTATATAATCGCTCTGTCCACTACTCATTATTGTAAAAGTAATTAAGAACTATATGAAAAATATTAAATAAATCGAATTAGTAATACATCTAATACAACAAAATCATATTCATATCTAAGAAAAAAAATAGAAATATAAGTAAAAATCCAAGTAATTTAATTTTCTCATATGATTTTTATAATAGAACAATAAAACAAAACGAAAAAAGTTGTTTATTTATTCACTTGCGTCAACTGAGACAAAATAAATATAAAGTAAATGAATGCTGAATAAGAGATGACTCATCGAAATCTGAAATTCATGCGTCTGTCTGATTGAATGCTCTGATAATAGTCAAATAGAAAAATTAATCCAATTAAACAAAAATAATTATTCTTAATCATAAGAAAAAAAACTAAACTAAGAAAGTTTTTGTTTTTAATTTCTTATATGAATTATTTTTCTTCCATGGTTATCGCTCTATATACCAGTATCCATATTAATCATATCATTAGATGGCGGGAGTAGTACTATAAAATAATCATTTGTCATTCTAAAATGAG